ATCTATCTATCTATCTATCTATCTATCTATCTATCTATCTATCTATCATCTATCTATCTATCTATCTATCTATCTATCTATCTATCTATCTATCATCTATCTATCTATATCATCTATCTATCTATCTATCTATCTATCTATCTATCTATCTATCTATCTATCTATCTATCTATCTATCTATCTATCAAAATATTTATATAACTATCTATTGTAGTTCTTTTTAACATTTATGTATGTATGTTTATATTTGTAAATCATTTATATAGCTGTCCATCTTTCAACCAACTCTGTTCAAGTTCTAGTATTAGGTTGATGATGGTGAGGATTAAATACAGCAAAAACAGAAAAAAATGTAGCAAGATCTTCTTCATTTGAATCTTTAGGAATTAATTAGGAAAAAACCCCTATCCTTGTTGCAGAAAATGGCTTGTATAGAAAGGAGCACCTGAAATTAATCGCCCACTCTTTTTTCAGTGTAATGCTTTTTACAGTATCAATTTTATTGCACAGCTTCTGATTCATCCTTCCAATAGTTGCACCTTATCCGCAAGGCATTAGGTATAAGGCATCTGTATTAGGTAGTTTGGTATAGTTTAGTGCATATCAACCCACAGCATCAAAGGCATCTTATGCCAAACACATGATGCAATTTTTTTTTTTCAAAAAAGGCAATCATGTGAAAAGTGCTTCATTTTTAAAAAGATCTCATTTCTTTAAAGAATGCTATATGAAAAACAAGGAAGTGATATTTAGCAATGCATTTTGAATGATTCACGCACACAGATACGCAAATGCTGCTTTGACTAAAACATACCCACCCTGCTCCCAATTGCATGGAAAAATGATCCAAGGCAACAATGCTTCAAGCTTTGCAAAATGAAAAGAACATGTACAACAATGGAAAACAATTTTTGCCTAGAACAATATCTCTGGGAAAGGTGGCACAGGCCAGGGCTTGTTTCTTCCTTTTGATTTTGCAGATAGATGCCCTCCCACCATCTGAAAGTATTAATGGAGTTGTAATTTAAGAAGTTTGTTACAAACACCTTTGATTTTTTTAAAAAATGAATGTGGCTGCAACAAATAGATCTGATCTCAAGATCTTTGATCTAAAATTTGGCATAAGCACTACATTGTATTGTAATAAAATATATAAAACCATAGAGAAGGAAACCATTGTGTACACCATGAGAAACTGGATGAGGAATAAAATGATATGGCTGGTGTTTATGAGATGGGCAAAATAATCCTATGCGTGCTTACTCAAATCCTATTTTATTCCATGGTCTTTACTCTTTAGGGAATAATATTTAGGATTGCAACCTAAAGCTACTATGTAAGCTTGCACGCTTTGAAGTAAATAATTAAGAGTGCAATTTATTTACAAGACCTAGGAGAGTATTATTTCTGTTCCTTAAATTTTCCCAGCCATCATTCTGAGTACCATTATTACCTCCAGAAACTGCAATTGCAGTGCCTGTAGGGGACAACATACCCAAACTAGATAAGAGAAGTGACAGAGGGAGGGAGGGAGATAAAGAATTTCCAGAATTCTTCATGCGAGATCCTAGAAAACTCATGTGAAATTTAGCTAGCTTGAACCAGAGAAGAAAAATGCGATCAGTGAACTCTTTCATCAGTGTATATAAATCGCTGTGATGTGCTCCTTCTAGATCAACTGCTTTAAAGCTCTTAAGAGCATCCCAGAGAGCAAAAGGTACATTGTTGACAATTTGAGGAGAAAATGGATATGCACACTTGGATGTCCACAACAGATGAACAGCCACTCTGACCCAGGAAGAGCTTAATTCACACACTGTATCTGTAGCATATATGGATGCCTATTTGGCTCAGAAGAACGTGGTTAGCTATGACCTGCTCCTTTTACTGGCTCTCAGGTTCTTTAGACTTTTTCCATCACTCCCCGAGGCAAAGTCTGGGGAGAGTGCAGCTCCATTGACTGCCTCCTGCGAACTTCACGCTCTTCCCAGTCCTCCTCTGGCTCATAGCCTTTGAAGATTGCTAGCCTCTCCGACAGAGTCTTTCTATGAGGGAAGAAAACATAATTGTAGAGCAAGGAAGCCACCACTGCTCCAACCATGGGACCCAGCCAGAAGACCTGTGCATGGAAATGACAACATGAGAGAGACTCAGAAGATGGCAGAGACCATGATTACTCTCAGGTAATATAAACAAGCAAAATAGCAATAACTATAGCACTTCTATACAACCCCATAGTGCTTTACAGTACTCTCTGAGCAGTTTACAATGTTACATTGCCCACCAACAATTTGGGTCCTCATTTTACTGACCTCGGAAGGATGGAAGGCTGAATTGGTCAGGATCAAACTCACGGCTGAGGGCAGAATTAGACTGCAATACTGCATTCTAAGCCCTGTGCCACCATGCCATTACCAAAGACAATAGGTAGCTTTATTTGAGTTAAACACCATCATTTCATCCACATTTTATTCTATGGACAGGAAGGATGTCATGAAAATAGATTTAAAGTAATTTATTGGAGAAGTCAGGGAAAGAATGGCAGGCTGCTTCCTTCCCCACCACCCCTCCCCATATATATGGATTCTGGCCTCAAGAGTCAATTAGTGAATTCAGTGATTCTACACTCCTTTTTTTTCTTCTTGTTTTAGTTTTTATTTTATTAAATATGTTTGCTGTCCATCTCGCTATTTTTGAAGGCCTCCTTCTTCCCTTTAGTTATTTCTCCAAATCACTTATCTTCCTAGGTTTCTCCAGCATTTACAAAGCCATGAAACTCCTGATAACTTTTGATCCTTGCATCTGGAATTCCTTCTTCTTTGACTTCCAAACCTTCCTGCGTTGCCCTGAGGTGTGAGTAACTCAGTCAACAACAGCCAGAGAGCCTTCTGCTCATAATTCAGCTCTTGGTGACCATGGGGCAGCTAAACTAATGATTACTAGTTAATCAATAATATAATAATCCTTAATGGTAATTCTAGACTCAGCATACATTACAACTCCTCATCACAGTGGTTTTCAATCTGTTTCCAATCCAAGAAGCTTCATACAATTGTCTGACCTTTCTCATCAAGGAAACCAGTTACAAAAGCTTCTCTGCAAAGTATATTCAAGCAATGGGCAATGGGGTTTATAGTTAAGCGGCCCTTCGTTTGGAAAGCACCAGTTTGGGGAATGTGGAGTATAGAATGCCAAAGTACATCCACCCAACTGGAAAAGCAAACAAGGTATTATTTCCTGTTATTCAGATGTCAGTGCTGAGTTACTTCATACCTTCCAACTAAGGCAACATAACTAAGATGCTAACAGTGCAGCTGGGGAGTTCATGGACAACTGCCAAAGGATTTTGCTTCCTTCATTCTTTCACTTCATTGAATATGAATGTTAAAAGTCTCCAAAAAAAACCACGCACACACACACACAAAACAAAGTCACATCCACTAACAAACTGGCCTGAAACTGGTTGAAACAAGAGCCTGAAATGTTCACATTACAGCTGGAATGGGGTGCTAATCCATTGCCAAACCATTGAAAAGTCTTCTCGTTAAAAAAATTGTGTGCCAGTTGTAGCCCTTCTTAGAAGGGGAGGCTTTGCTGTCAATCATTCATACTTTAGTCCCTTCCTGCTTTGACTATTGTAATGTAATCTAAATGGGGCTGTTGTTGAAGAACATTTGGAAGCTGCAGTTGGTCTACGCGCAACAGTACTGCACTGTTTAGGATTCACCTGGCATTCCCAGGTAGCATGTCTGCTCATAAACTGCACTGATTTCCAACATGCTTCTGGGTACAATTTAAATTGTTAGAGATCACCTGTAAAGTCCTACATGGCACTGAGCCAGATTATTCATGGCACTGCCTATTCTCAGTTATTTCTGGTCAGTGATCGTTCTTTCCTTCTTGTAAGGTTATGCTTTAATTCCTGAGCTAACATGACTGGAGGAGGAATTCTGGGAGTTGAAGTCCACAAGTCTTAAAGCTGTCAAGTTTGAAGACCCCTGTTTAATCAGAGGCTTGCAGAGAGACACCTTGTGCTGCTAGAAGAAATGGACAGGACCACATGGCCATGGATGTGAGTCAGAGAAGAGGGAGAGTGTATTCTGAGGATTCACATCCATGTCCCGTGGTGTGAAAAGAATGGCAGAAAAGAGGATTATTCATTGAATTCTTGGTCACACTTGGGTAGTACAACGACATGAATTGTGTGGTGTCCTCAGCTTTGGTCTCTAAGGCCCATCTCTTCTTTCATAATTTTTCTGAGATTCAGCAATCCTAGTAAGGATATTTGGGGGTAGGAAATCTTCCCCTTCCATCTAACTAATTTTACCGAAATTAATAGGAATAGAGAAAATGCAATCCCCCTTTTAAAAAATACTGAGGGAAGAGAGGATACAAGCTAGGCTTGTTTCATGAGAAGTCAGAGAATACCTGTCTATGTACATACGAGAGACAAAAGGGAATATGCAAACATGTGAATCTGTCAATGATCAAGTTAATGAATATGCTTGCTTATATGGATTATGGTATGTCCCCAATGGTTGAGAGACCCCCTAAGATTCACAAACCTCCAAACATTGCTATCCCTTTTTAGTGGTCTGTTGCAATTATAGATTATCCAGAGCAGGTTTTCTCATCCTTCGTACCTGGAGAAAACTTTGAAACAATGTTTGGGTTTGTTGGAACTGTTGCATTGAAAATCACAAAAAATGTGATAACTTCAGAATGCATTTCATTTTTAACATACACTATGTTTTCAATGATTACCACATCACTACAACAAAATGGCAGACAGGCATTTGGGTTGCTGTGAGTAGAAGATCCCATTATTGAAAGTGTTAGTATTGCACTGTGTTTGAAGTGAAAGAAAATATGTCTTTTTTGTTTTTTTTAAATCAAGATCTCTAGCAGAACCCCTTCCACAGAATCCAGTGGAGAAAGGTTGGCCAGGTGTCTTACCCAATGGTTGTCAAATTCACCAAGAATCACAGCAGGGGCAAAAGATCTAGCAGGATTCATGGAACAGCCAGTGTAGTAGATCTAGGTAGAAAAAAAATAGGATGAAATTAGTGATGAAATATATATATTTTCCTATGTCATTATAGTTGTGCTTTTAAAGTTGTAGCAACGTTTCGGCAGAATCTCATCTGCCATCATCAGGCTTGTGTATTGTGTTTGTCTGTGAGTCAGGCTTTCACAGCCGTTTCTGTTTTAAATTTGGTGCTAGCCTACTGCTGTGCCAGAATGGTTTTTTCTTAATCCTGATTGGTTGGGAGTCTTGGTCTGTGTTTATTGGTCTTGGGGTTTGCTGTGTTCTGCTTGATTGGTGTTTCTAATATCTTTTGTCTGTTTTGTAGCATTTTTTTGTCTTGATTGGCTGGCAACATTGTGTTTCCTGTATTGGAGGCTTTTAGTGCAGCTTGGCTCCGAGTAAATGGACAGCTATCATTTGTTAAGAAGCTAGGTTTCATCTGGGTGCCTGGTTGGGGTGTGTTTGAGCTGGAGGTATCGGGGGGGTGTCTGTTTGTGCCCAGGTGTTTGCTTGGCTTGTGGTATGGAGATTTTTTTGTTTGTGAGTGCAGGCTTCCAAATAATTGACAATCTGGGGGAATCATCTCTTCTATTCATGCTTTCAGGTCTTTTTTCAATCTTTATGGCTTCTCTGATAATTCTGTAGCTGGGGTTTTCTATAGCGGCTAGGGTTTTGGTGCCATTGAAGTTGATGCTATGACCTGTGGCTTTCATGTCTTGGACTGGTGAGGAAGTGTGTTCCAGCTTTTTTACTGCATTTTTGTGTTCATCCAGGCGGGTACTTATTCTTCTATTGGTCTGTCCAATGTATGTGGCAGGGCATGATGAGCAGGAGACTTCATATATGCCTTGGTTTTCCAGGTTAATTTTATCTTTGGGGTTTCTTAGGATGGCTCCTATTTTTCTGTCTGTTTTGAAGGCAGTCTTGATGTGATGCCTGTGTAGTATCTTGCTGATTTTGTCTGTAGTACCTCTTATGTAGGGCAGGACAGCTATTCCATAGGTCTGTTCATCTTCTAGGTCTCCAGTATGTCTCAGTGTGTTTTTGTGGATCAGGCCTGTGATTTTGCTTTTGTGGAAGCCGTTGGCTGTCAGTACTTTAGTCAGGGTGCATAGTTCAGTCTTTATGTGTGTCTTGTCTGCCAGGTGTTTGGTTCTGGCAATTAGTGTTTTGGCCACGGAGTTTATCTGTGCTGGGTGGTGGTGGGATTGGGTGTTGAGGTTGCAGTTGGTGTATGTTTTCTTCTGGTATATGGTGTGTCCTAGTGTGCCATCTGTTTTTTTGTAGATTAGTACATCTAGGAATGGTAGTTGTTTGTTTCCATTTCCATGGTGAATTTGATTTTGGGGTGTGTGCTGTTTAGGTGTGTTAGGAAATTGTTTAGGTTTTCTTTTCCATGGGGCCAAATAACAAATGTGTCATCAATAGGTGGCATTGGCTAGGGCTCTGGATTCAAATTCTTCCATGAACAAGTTTGCAATGATGGGTGACAGTGGTGATCCCATCGGGGCTCCTTCAATTTGCTTGTATCTTTGTCCTTTGTATATGAAATATGTGTTGGTTAAGCAGTGTACTGCTAGTTCCATGAGGTGGTTGGGTGGTTGATATTTATTTTTGATGATTTTGAGAGTTTCTTTTATCAGGACTTAAGTGAACAGTGAAACCACATCGAAACTTACAAGCAGATCTTTTTGTTCCACGTGTAGATCTTTGATTATTTCCAAGAGGTGGTATGAGTTATGTACATGTGAAGCTGCTGCTTCAGCATGGGGCTGTAGCTGCTTTGCTAGGTATTTGGCTAGGTTTTGTAGTGGTGCTCCTCTGGAACTGACTATGGGTCTGAGGGGTATGCCTTCTTTGTGTATTTTGGGGAGGCCGTATAGTTTGGGGCATCTGGAAGATTTTTCTCTTGGGATGATCATCTGTTGGATCTCTTTGCTCATGTTGTTGGTTATGATTTTCTTCTTGGTTGTTTTTTCCAGATATGTGGTTGGGTCCGTGTTTATGGGTTTGTATGTGGAGTCTTGGAGTAGGTCTGTCAATTTTGTTTTGTAGTCTTTTCTATCCATTACTGCTGTGGCATTACCTTTATCTGCTGGAAGTATGATTATGCTGCTGTCGTTCCTTAGGGCTTGCAGGGCTTTTAGTTCCTCTTTGTGCAGGTTGCTTTTGGGTGGTTTGCTTGTGCATAGGATGTTAGTGACTTGGTGTCTTATTCTATCAGCTTCATCTGTATTTAATTTAGTTAGGCTGGATTCCACTCCGCATATGATGGATTCTGTGGGGATTTTTTGGGTGCTATAACACAACTGAATCCTTTGGTTAGGACATCTGTTTCTGTTTTGGTGAGTTCTCTGTTGGAAACGTTGTATACTAATTGTTTCAGGTGTTGTTGTGAGTTGTTGGGGGCTTTCTTGTCATGTTCTAATTTCTTTAATTTCTTCAGGAGTTTGTCATTTTTATAAGTGGTTTCAGTTTCAGCTCTCCAAGTTGTAAGTTGTTTTATCTTGTCCCAAAGTAGAGGGTGGATTTTGTTGCTCAATTCCAGGTGTAGGGTTAGAAGGTCTTTATTTAACTGATCGAGTTGGATTCTCTTTCTGTGGAGCTCGTTCCTGAGTAGAGCCATTTCAGTTCTTTTCAGGATACGTTTTATATATGTATGTATCTATGTATGTACTGTATGTGTGTATGTATATGTGTATGT